GAGGGGCCGGCGCCCCTTCCTAAGGATGCCCTAGGCACTGATTTTATTTGTTTGTAATAAGATAAGTTAGGGACTACTTTTTCTTAAGGGGAGCGTGATCTTTGGCAAATTTTGGCAATGGACGGAGCTCAAGAAAAGTTGCTAAAATAGTTTACTTGCAATCCATCAATCAAAATTATCTCCACAGAACGGCAAACTGCAGACTTCATGTACAGAGGAAAATAAAATTGAGGCGCCCAGATATAGAGATTCGGCACAGGAAGAAAAGAGAAATATAAATAAAGGCAAGAGAAAATGGGGGGAGTGTAATCACTAGAATACGTGGGGGAAAGGAAAGGAAAAGTGGAAGAAAAGAAAAACATGACAATGCCGTTTTAAGCTTGGATTATTTGTATGTAAGTTTAAGTTTTCTATTTTATGGGAGGAATATATGTTTAAATAGAGTAAGCGGACAGGCTAAAGAGAGAGAGGTTATATGGAGTAATAGGAGGAGTTAGAGGGAGAGGTTATATGGAGTAATAGGAGGAGTTATAGAGAGAGGTTATATGGAGTAATAGGAGGAGTTATAGAGAGAGGTTACATGGAGTAATAGGAGGAGTTATAGGGAGAGGTTATATGGAGTAATAGGAGGAGTTATAGGGAGAGGTTATATGGAGTAATAGGAGGAGTTATAGAGAGAGGTTATATGGAGTAATAGGAGGAGTTAGAGGGAGAGGTTATATGGAGTTATAGGCGGAGTTATAGGGAGAGGTTATATGGAGTTATAGGAGGAGTTATAGAGAGAGGCTATATGGAGTAATAGGAGGAGTTATAGAGAGACGTTATATGGAGTAATAGGAGGAGTTATAGAAAGAGGTTATATGGAGTAATAGGAGGAGTTATAGGGATCGGTTAAATGGAGTAATAGGAGGAGTTATAGGGAGAGGTTATATGGAGTAATAGGAGCAGTTATAGGGAGAGATTGCCCCTTAGTGCTCTCCCATCCCCACCTGCCCCTTAGTGCTCTCCAATCCCTTAGTGATCTCCCCTTCCCGCCTGTCCCTTAGTGATCTCCCCTGCCCCCCCCGTCCCTTAGTGCTCTCCTCTGCCCTCCTGTCCCCTTGTGATCTCCCCTCCCTTCCTGTACCTTAGTGCTTTCCCCTGTCTCCCCTGTCCTTTTCCCCTGTCTCCCTGTCCTGTACCTTAGTGCTTTCCCCTGTCTCCCTGCTCTCCCCTGCACCTCTCCCTTAATGCTCTCACCTGTCCCCTCCCCGTTCTGTCCCTTTGTGCCGTCTCCCCTCCCTTCCCTGTTGTGCCTCATACCTCAGTGTAGCATGGCCGGGCAGCATTGACCGCGGTACAGGAGCTTGTATTTCCTGTACCCGGTCGGAATGACAGGAAGTGCTCACTGAGTGATGGGCAGGAGGGAGTGGTATGCGCTTCTCTCCTGCCGGGTCACTCGAAACTTGCACCCCCCAGGCCGGTGCGCCCTAGGCGACTTAGGACACGCCGGCTCTGTATGGAGTAATAGGAGGAGTTATAGGGAGAGGCTATATGGAGTAATAGAAGGAGTTATACAGAGGGGTTATATGTTGTAATAGGAGGAGTTATAGATAGAGGAGGTTGTATGTTGTTATAGGAGGAGTTATAGGTAGAGGTTATATGGAGTAATAGGAGGTGTTAAAGGAAGAGGTTATATGGAGTAATAGGAGGAGTTATAGGTAGAGGTTATATGGAGTAATAGGAGGTGTTAAAGGAAGAGGTTATATGGAGTAATAGGAGGAGTTATAGAGAGGTTATATAAAGTAATAAGATGAGTTATAGAGAGAGATTATATGGAGTAATAGAAGGAGATATAGGTAGACGTTATATGAAGTAATGGGAGAAGTTACGGGGAGGAGTTATAGAGAGAGATTATATGAAGTGGGAGTTATACATAGTGATAGAAATTTTTTATTTGCTGTACAAGATATTTAGAGGGACTCTCCAGTGCCTGGAAAACAAACCGTTTTCCTGGAACTGCAGGTCCCCTCTCCCTTCCACCCCCATCCCAAGTTGCTGAAGGGGTTTAAACCCCTTCAGTGACTTACCTGTATCCAGCGCCGATGTCCCTCGGTGCTGGTTTAGGGTGCGGCAGCTGGCAGAGGAGACCTAAAGCGCATGCGCGGCAATGCCGTGCATGCACATTAGACCTCCCCATAGGAATGTCCCTCGGTGCTGGTTTAGGGTGCGGCAGCTGGCAGAGGAGACCTAAAGCACATGCGCGGCAATGCCGTGCATGCACATTAGACCTCCCCATAGGAATGCATTGAAAAATGCTTTCCTATGGGGATTTCAGCGACGTTGGAGGTCCTCACACAGCGTAAGGACGTCCAGCGACGCTATAGCACATTTTTCGTGTGCTATAAGCCAAGAAGTGCCCTCTAGTGGCTGTCTAGTAGAGGAGTTAACTCTGCAAGGTAAATATTGCAGTTTATGAAAACAGACCACTCCAATGGGCAATAGTGGTCTGGGTGCCTGGAGTGTCCCTTTAAGTAATATGTCAGAATTAAAGTTTGTTAAATATTATTTAACCCTTTCTATTTTCAAACCATGTACAAACCATTTTTCTCTAGCAGCAAGAGTAGTGGTGTGGGGAGAGTGTTAGGTCTCTGGACATACTGCAGTATTTCAAGGGATTCTAACGTGTTAGAAATAAAAAGTTGTATTCCTAACACTATAGTGCTCTCTGGTTCCCTTCCCCTCGAGCCTCCCCACCCCTGTGGCACATAAAGGGATAAAAACCCTTTATTTACACACGATTCCAGCATGTTTCTCACCATTGGGTCAGTGCTCTGCCTACTCCGATGGTGGGCATGTGCAGCAAGTGCTGCAAGCACATTAGGCCTTCACAATAGGAAAGCACTGTCTCAATGCTTTCCTGTCAAGATTGCACTGATGTTGGATGTACTCATCCACAGCGTGAGGACATCCAGTTTAAGGGACCCAGAGTCAGACAATCACTAGAGACTGTCTTAGAAATGCAATGTAAACCTTGCGGGATTAAGGGGGGCAGGGACACTGCACTCAAACCAGTCCAATGAAATGCATGGCCTGGGTGCCTCTAGTGTCCATTTAAGTGCAGCCTGCAATAGTAGCCTGCAGTGTCTTTACTGCACACATGCTAATATACTATTACCGGTACTTGTATTCTGTAGTGTCTGGTTGGGGAATTTGCTTTTCCAAAATTGACAATATAATATTTTCATATACCCAGAAGCAAGATATTTAACTATTAGTGTTTGTTTGTTTATTTATTTACAGTCATGTCTATGTATATCAGAAAGGCACTTGAGCAAAAAAAAAAGCTTGACTGCTTGTAATTTAGAAAAATGTGAAAAGTGTGCCAGATGTGTTGTAAGATAGAATTTACCGTGTAATATCTAACGTGTATTGGAATATACAATATTGAAATACATAATACCATTGTATGAATTTACAGGAGTTCAAATTGTTGGGTTTGTCCTATGTCCTATGTATGTAAATACATTTTATTCCTAAGGGTTTATTCATGTGAAGATTTCAAACCTGGCCACGTTGGCCTGAAGTTTGCCATCTAGTCTTTAGAAAATAAATGATTTCACTTTTCTAACCACTTCCCTCCCAATATGGGATGTACCTGTAAATTTGAATGACAAGTTTGGTTTTGCTTGACCATCAAATATAAAATTAAATATTATTTATAAACCCGTACCCTCCTTCCAGACTAGATGGGCCGAATTGGGCAGACTAGATGGGCCAAATGGTTCTTATCTGCCGTCACATTCTATGTTTCTATGTTTCTATGTTCCTCTCTTAAACTTTCTGTCAGGGTTCCGTACTGTCTCACTGCTCATACACACAATATATTTACATTAATTAAGCATGTATATATATATTGATCTTGAGAAAGACCCTGAGTGGTCGAAACGTCGATCAAGCATTTTTTTTGCAATGTAAAAACATTGGAATAAATCACAATATATTTTTACACACGGAGGAGACCTGTGAGTGCACCCTTCTTTAACCAATCTACCACGAAAGCAGTACCTATATATTGTAAGGGTGAGTGCCAAGAATGTCTGTTTATAATATATATATTACACCTAAAGTATAATAATAAAAAAAGGTATTTACAAGGAATGCCATATAATTTAGAAAACAGTGAATTTAAAAAAATATATATATATTTTAACACATTTTGCAATTATTCAATATTTAGGTCATTACAGCTGTGCTGGGGAATAAAAATCCTAATTTTCAAAACTCTTTTTTCCCCACCTTTACTACCACAACACACTGTTAGTAAATAGAACCCCCAGAGATTCTCATGTCTCTCTATAACATACAATGTTCAAACATATGAAAGCAATACATCCTTAAAGCATTTTATTAAGCAAAACATGCTGACATTACTAATACATTGCAAATTCTCCATGTAGTCAATCTAAACTACCTCTTATACATACATACAAGCAAGCAAAGGCATTCATTGTAACATCACAGTTTATGAAGACAGTTTCCTGGAAAAATATATGTATATTTGTAAACACAGAACAGGCATGCAAATATACACATGTACACCACATATATTACACACAGCAGAATGAAACAACATGTATGCATAAATAAATATATAAATAAATAAATATATAAATAAATAAATATATAAATTAGAATATTATATATAGAGCATATACATGCATTACAAAATGGCATAGAGATTATTATTCCAATACACAGACATAATACATTCATGCAATACACAGTACAATTTCTATAAACCAATTAATAAGATTTACAGTCATATATGAGAATAAAAATTCAGAACATATAAGAATTCTATGTGTGTGTATATAAATATAGTTTCACTTTATTTAATGTTACTTTGCAGCAAAAAAGTCAAATAAATGAAATCTTATGTGAATAATATTATATTCTAGCAGTGATTTATACTGTTGGATTCTATATTGATTTGGTTTGATTTTTCCTCTTATAAATCCCCCAATCACTTGATTTAATCAGCAGCCTGCTATAGTGGTCTCGTTTGCAGCCTTTCACATTGCTAACAGAAAGTTTCAGGTATAGGTAGGTAGAACATAGTTTGTCTCTATGTCTGCTTGTTGTGTGTCTTTAATTCTTTCTGTAGATCATGTGCATTGGAGCTGGACAATGAAATGGCAATTTAAAATAGATCTGGGCACAATCTGAGTTTAATTCTAAAGACAATGTTTGTTGAAGCCCTTTATTTTTCACAACTGCACAGGGGATGGAACACAAACGAAATCCCCCTTCTTTTATCCAAGTCTAATTTGTTTTGAAAGCAATGGTCTCATTTATTAACAGGTGCAAAAACATTCAATGTTAAAATTCCCATCAGTCATTTGGAGCCGAGACTTTACTTCTTTAACATGTTAATCGTTATTTTATACTTACACTTTATTTTTATTTAATTTTTTTTTCATACGTGTGCAGAATTTGCTGGGTCATAATCATTTGAATAGAAATGGGTTCATACATTTTCTACAACTCACTTCCTGAACTGTTACAGTAACAATTGTTACACGGAACGAATTCAAATGATTTATAGTACAATTAACATAGAATGGTTCACATATAATATGTATATATATATTCGGTATAAATAGCATAGTACACGTATAACATGCAAACTGTACACAAAACTGTTCGTTATCTAGATAATATAATGCCTAGATAATATACACAGTATATAGAAAGAGCTCTTTACCAATACAATGTAACATTATCTATACCATATACAGATAATATCGATAGACAGACAGACAGACAGACATACAGATAGATAGATAGATAGATAGACGGATGGATAGATAGATAGATAGATAGAGAGATAGATAGATAGATAGATAGATAGATAGATGAATAGAGAGATAGACAGATAGATGGATAGATAGATGGAGAGATAGATAGATAGATAGATAGATAGATAGATAGATAGATAGATGGATAGATGGATAGATAGAGAGATAGATAATAGAGAGATAGATAGGTAGATAATAGAGAGATGAGAGAGAGAAAGAGATAGACAGATAGATAGATAGATAGATAGAGAGATGAGAGAGAGAGAGAGAGAGAGAGAGATAGACAGACAGACAGACAGACAGATAGGATAGATAGATAGATAGATAGACGGATGGATAGATAGATAGATAGATAGAGAGATAGATAGATAGATAGATAGATAGATAGATGAATAGAGAGATAGACAGATAGATGGATAGATAGATGGAGAGATAGATAGATAGATAGATAGATAGATAGATAGATAGATAGATGGATAGATGGATAGATAGAGAGATAGATAATAGAGAGATAGATAGGTAGATAATAGAGAGATGAGAGAGAGAAAGAGATAGACAGATAGATAGATAGATAGATAGAGAGATGAGAGAGAGAGAGAGAGAGAGAGAGATAGACAGACAGACAGACAGACAGATAGATAGATATAGATAGATTGATTGATTGATTCCCTTCCAGTTCGGCAATCTATATAAATATGTATTACCACTGGTAAATTACAATACTGTATTCATTTTTAATAAGGCAATAAATAAAAGCAGCATGCACTTAATTAATAGGTTCACACCCTTCTTATATCATGTATCAGGTATCATGATGTCTGCTATAAAAACACATTGTATCATATTTTTCCCTTCTAAACAATTATAACGAACTCATGCATAACTATATTTTAAATATATATGTACATATAACATATAGTGTATATATGTTATATTATATGTGCTGTGTACTGTTAAAATGTATTATATAATCTGTATATAATATGTGCACTATGCTTGGTATACCATGTAAAATGTACATATTATGTCTCTCTCTCTCTCTCTCTCTCTCTCTATGTAATCTACACACACACACTTACCAATATTATGTATATTATATGTTACATTTGCTAAATTTGCTAGGCATAACATCTAAAATGTTCTTTTTGTATAATAAGTCAGCATTATTATAAGTAAAATGTACACGTTTTATATATATAAATATATATATATATATATATATATATATATATATATATATATACATAGTCTATATAATATGTGCAGAATTATTAATAAAATGTACATGTTACATATATAGTCAGTATTTCTGCACTATAATAAATACAATTTATATTTTATATATATATATATATTATATGTGCAGTATTCTCTGTAAATATACATTTATATAGATATATAGTCTGTATATAATATGTGCACTATACTAGATATATAATGTAAAATGTACAATTTATATAGATATATAGTCTGTATATAATATGTGCACTATGCCTGGTATATAATGTAAAATGTACAATTTATATAGATATATAGTCTGTATATAATATGTGCACTATACTAGGTATATAATGTAAAATGTACAATTTATATAGATATATAGTCTGTATATAATATGTGCACTATACTAGATATATAATGTAAAATGTACAATTTATATAGATATATAGTCTGTATATAATATGTGCAATATGCCTGGTATATAATGTAAAATGTACAATTTATATAGCTATATAGTCTGTATATAATATGTGCACTATGCCTGGTATATAATGTAAAATGTACAATTTATATAGATATAAAGTCTGTATATAATATGTGCACTATGCCTGGTATATAATGTAAAATGTACAATTTATATAGATATAAAGTCTGTATATAATATGTGCACTATGCCTGGTATATAATGTAAAATGTACAATTTATATAGATATAAAGTCTGTATATAATATGTGCACTATGCCTGGTATATAATGTAAAATGTACAATTTATATAGATATAGTCTGTATATAATATGTGCACTATGCTAGGTATATAATGTAAAATGTACAATTTATATAGATATATAGTCTGTATATAATATGTGCACTATACTAGGTATATAATGTAAAATGTACAATTTATATAGATATAAAGTCTGTATATAATATGTGCACTATACTAGGTATATAATGTAAAATGTACAATTTATATAGATATATAGTCTGTATATAATATGTGCACTATACTAGGTATATAATGTAAAATGTACAATTTATATAGATATAGTCTGTATATAATATGTGCACTATGCCTGGTATATAATGTAAAATGTACAATTTATATAGATATAGTCTGTATATAATATGTGCACTATGCCTGGTATATAATGTAAAATGTACAATTTATATAGATATAATCTATATATATTATGTGCACTATGCCAGGTATATCATCTAAAGTATATATACATAATCAGCATTATTATAAATAAAATGAACATGTTTTATAAATAGTATGTATATAGACGTGCAATGCCTGCTATCTAAAGAGTACAATGTACAAATGATGTAAGTAGTCTATATACTAAATGCACACTGTAATACATAAAATGTACATTTTGTACATCTAACCTGTATATTATATGAGTTCTATTCTATGTAAGATGTACCTTTTCTAGACACACACCCTGCATATTATCTGCTCACTATGCTAGGTATATCATATAAAATATGCACATTGTATTCGTGTTGTATATGTAATGTGTATACTATGTATACATATTGTATAACGTTTGTATATGTAACATTTGAGCATCTATTCTGTACAGAACACGGTGCAATGTGTTATGTAGGTAGACAGATATAGATGATTGATAAATACACAGATAAACATATTAGCCTACATACATAGTTCATAGATAGATACTACATCGATAGACATGTTATGATAGACAGATTAACACATTGATTGATTATATACAGACAGATTGATATATAGATTAAATAACATGTTATTCTGTATACATAGATCGATAGATGATACATAGACATGTTATGATAGACAGATGGATACATTGATTGATTATATACAGACAGATTGATATATAGATTAAATAACATGTTATTCTGTATACATAGATCGATAGATGATACATAGACATGTTATGATAGACAGATGGATACATTGATTGATTATATACAGACAGATTGATATATAGATTAAATAACATGTTATTCTGTATACATAGATCGATAGATGATACATAGACATGTTATGATAGACAGATGGATACATTGATTGATGCTATACAGTTTATAGATAGACAGATGCATGATTATCATAGACAGATTAATACATATATTGATCGATAGCTGATAGATATATTGAGGAATGAACATGTTGTCCTGTATACATAGATCGATAAATAGATGATACATAGAAAGACATGTTATAATATACAGATTAATAAATATATTGATCGATAGATGATAGATACATAGATTAATTAACATGTTATGCTATATAGATAGATCGATAAATGTATGATAGACATGTTATAATATACAGATAGCTGATAGATAGATAGATAGATTGATAGATTGACATGTTATGCTATATACATAGATCGATTGGCCTGGGATCCAGTACAGATAACAATGAATTCTATACAAAGTAAGTCTGCTACCGAAACACATCCAATCCCTTCTAAGTATAGACTGTCAGTGTTTCATTGTTACTGCAAGGGTTAAGGTATAAGGCCAGTTATTAATTCACTCATTGATTCCTTATTGGGAACTGACAGGCAGTGCACGGGTTAATCCAGCCAGATTCCCCTCATTAAGCGGTGGATACAGCAATTTAATTAGTAAGACAAACAGAGCACAGCAAAGTAAATAGCAATTTTAGACTTTATTGTTGGCAGAGGGAGTTTGATTATAATTATATCCCTGAGGGAAAGACTGCAGCGTTCCATACTAACCAAAGGGAGAAACATATCAACACACACACACTGCAGGCATATAGTGTGTGTGTGTGGGCTTATAGTGTGTATGTAGGCATATAGTGTGTGTGTGGGCTTATAGTGTGTGTGTGGGCTTAAAGTGTGTATGTAGGCATATAGTGTGTGTGTGGGCTTATAGTGTGTATGTAGGCATATAGTGTGTGTGTGTGGGCTTAAAGTGTGTATGTAGGCATATAGTGTGTGTGTGGGCTTATAGTGTGTATGTAGGCATATAGTGTGTGTGTGTGGGCTTATAGTGTGTATGCAGGCATATAGTGTGTGTGTGTGGGCTTATAGTGTGTATGTAGACATATAGTGTGTGTGTAGGCATATAGTGTGTGTGTGTGGGCTTATAGTGTGTATGTAGGCATATAGTGTGTGTGTGTGTGTGTGTGTAGGCATATAGTGTGTGTGTAGGCATATAGTGTGTGTGTGTGTGGGCTTATATGGTGTGTATGTAGGCCTTATAGTGTGTGGGGAAACATAGTGTGTATGTAGGCATATAGTGTGTGTGTGTGTGTGTGTAGGCATATAGTGTGTATGTAGGCATATAGTGTGTATGTAGGCATATTGTGTGTATGTAGGCATATAGTGTGTGTGTGGGGGCTTATAGTGTGTATGTAGGCATATAGTGTGTGTGTGTGTGTGTGGGCATATAGTGTATATGTAGGCATATAGTGTGTGTGTGTGTGTGTAGGCATATAGGTAATGTGTGTGGGGGAGCTTATAGTGTGTATGTAGGCATATAGTGTGTGTGTGGAGCTTATAGTGTGTATGTAGGCATATAGTGTGTGTGTGTGGGCTTATATGAGTGTGTATGAAGGCATATATATATATAGTGTGTGTGGGGGGAGCTTATAGTGTGTATGTGAGCATATAGTGTGTGTGTGTGGAGCTTATAGTGTGTATGTAGGCATATAGTGTGTGTGTGTGTGTGTAGACATATAGTGTGTATGTAGGCATATAGTGTGTGTGTAGGCATATAGTGTGTGTGTGGGGGCTTATAGTGTGTATGTAGGCATATAGTGTGTGTCTGGGCATATAGTGTGTGTGTAGGCATATAGTGTGTATGTAGTCATATAGTGTGTGTGTAGGCATATAGTGTGTGTGTGTGGGCTTATAGTGTGTATGTAGGCATATAGTGTGTGTCTGGGCATATAGTGTGTGTGTGTGGGCTTATAGTGTGTATGTAGGCATATAGTG